TTTACTCTGATACTGAATTGACATTCTTAGGAATAATAAAAAACTTCGCTGTCCACTTGAAAGGAATATAATTCCTACATTTCTTAATTTTATGAAAAATCTAAAAAACTAGTTTGAATCAAAGAGATCTTAGTTTTATTTGAAATAAAATTGAAAATTCTAAATGAACATCTGATATTAGTAAAAGTGCAGTTCTTAATTATTAACTCAATCTCGTTTGACTGAAACTTAAATATACTCTAAAGGCCAGTAATATTCTTAAAATAGAAGTTTTCTATGCTGATTTTAATGTTATTTGAGTATACTAAAGATAATAATGATTCGCCGTTACTCGAGAAAATATTTTAAGTAAATTCAGTTTCAATAAATTTCGATTCATTTTTCCAAATGCCCCCTTAAAAATCTTGGATTTATATTTACTATGAATTATTGTTTTACTGCTATAAATCTAAGATCCTCAATCCAATTAATTTACTCTCCTAAATTGAATTTAAATCTAAGCTTGAAATGTTTGATAATTTGAAAAGTGAGTAAAATTCCTTTGGTTGTTCCGTAAAGTTGGTATAATATATTTGAGCATTTGTGATATTGGCCGCATTAAGAGAAATATAGAATAATGGATATAAATCAGGAGCCTCCAATAATACTAGTTTCAAATTTTCAATCATTACAGAGGCTTTCTGTTCATCATTAAAGTCTAGACTAATAATCCCTGATGATAGTATTGTATTTTCTTGCTATATTCCAATTTATCCATTATCAATAGTAGTTATATTTAATGTATTATTGTTGAATGTTAGTTCTTCACTTGCTATTGACAAAGGTAAAGTTACATTAGCAATCACTAAGGGTATTAAAATTGTAATCTTACCAATACAAGAATTAGATCTTTTATCAAGAAATTAATTAAAGCCACCTTTAGATTTAGTCAAATTCATTATTTCTTACAGATATTTGAGTTAACAAATGAACTCAAAGCTATCAAAATGATAGAAAAATAAACTACTGAAATTAATAAATTTGCTATACTTCTCATATTTAAAATATTGAATGAGAGTCTTTTAAAAATTTAAAGTTACATAATTAAATAAAAATCACATACACTCCAATATACTTCTATATTTTGAGAATTTTACTATGGGGTTTTGGGGTTTTGGGGTTTTGGGG